CAGTTCTCATACATTTCACTTCTGCAATCAGCTCCAGCTTTCAAAAGAACAGTCTTAGAAAAGCAGTTTTGAGCAGGTGGGAGTGATGTGGTTAGGGCTTGTCTGGTAGTATTTATAGGGCCAAATGGGAAGTGGCTGTTTTGACTTATGCTCCTACCCTGTGCTTGCCAAAATGAATAGTGGGTGAGTGATTTTCCTGCTAGGTCTCCCATTCCTACAATTAACCCTTTGTGGTTGGCTGATGTGGATTGGTGCTGAAACTGAGATTCATTTTTCTCCTGTTTGTCACCTGTTAAGCATTCAGCTCAGTCTTTATGTTGTTTTAGCTTTTCCTTCTGCAGCTGCCATCATTCCTTACTGTCTGGTGACTGTTTCCTCCTGCTGGCAAGGCCACCAGCTCACAGCTAACTGCTGTGCCTGCCAGCTCCTTTGGCTTTGAGGCTGACAATGCTTCAAGATGGCTTTCTCCTCTATTTTGGAGCAGTTATCTCCACATTTTGGCTTTCTTTCTCCAGGTTATGCTAAAAAGAAATCATGTCCCGTGGATCCAGATGAAGATTGCATGAGATGTGGACCTGAGCAATACCTGAACGAATCCCCAAAGCCACGATGTGATGCTTGTGTCTTATGCACCAAAGGTAACTGGTTTGCTGTTACCACCTACAGGCTTCTCCAGTTGTTCACGACTTAAAGTGCTGTTGCAAAGAGTGCCAGCAGCCCATTCTGCTTCCCAAGCCTTTGCCCTGGTGTTGCTCAGCTTTGACCCCTGCTTTGCCTCTTGCTCGCAGTGATCCTTTGTTACTCCATCTGTTTCTTCCCTGCAGAATTTGACCTTGTGGAGAAAGCTCCCTGCTCCTTCAATTCCAGCCGGGTGTGTGAGTGCCGACCAGGGATGTTTTGCCAGACTGCTGCTAAGTACACCTGCATGAGATGCCAGCAGCACACTGCTTGCAAGCCTGGTTTTGGAGTCAAGATCAGAGGTAGGAATTCCTCCTTATTTTATCTTTTCTGATCATGGCCGTAGGCTTGGAGTTGATTCATTTTGATCAGTCCATCCGCTGTCATTGCTTTTATTCAGGCACCTCAAAGACTGATGTTTCATGTGAAGAATGCCCTCCTGGGACCTTCTCTGACCAAAGCTCCAGCACTGACATCTGCAGACCCCACACAGAGTAAGTCCATAGTGTTTCAGAGTGACAAACCAATTGGTTAAAGCTAATAGAGGACCCAAAGGGATCTTTGCTTTGTGCCAGAAGTGACAAATTTATCTCAGAGGCAATGGGACAGCTTGGAGCCTTTGTGCTGTTGCACAGCTCTGTGCTGGCAGGAGGAAGGGATCTCTCTTGCCTCAGTTTCAGTTCACTGAGTGCAGTGGGATTCCGTGTGTGTGTGAGTTTGCATCTGGGTCAAGAATCAGTGCCACAGGGGTGAGCAGCAGGTTAATGACTTTCTGACTAAAACCAGTTAATGCATGTGGTATAATCATGACCAAAAAGGACGTATGCCACCTGGAAAATCTTACAGTGTGTCATGTCATTTCCTCCTGGCACTGATGCACTGCTCTCTCTTTTGTTCCCTAGCTGTGCCAAGTTGAACAAAGTAGCACAAGGCAAAGGAAATGCCACCCATGATCAGGTTTGCGTGGATCGATTGCCCTCCTACCTCACCCCAGACACTTCCTCCATCAGAATCAGCAACGAAACAAATGACTCTGACGTACTGAAGCTTCCGGCAAACCTGGTGACCCTTGCTAGTGTCCTTTCAAGTGCCACAACCAAAATTCCCAGTTCAACTCCCAAGGAGAAAGCCAGCACTTCTCCCACCTCAGACAAGGGAGAGACAACAACAAGAGGTCAGAAAGGATTTATTCTATCTATTATAGATTTTTATTGTATAAAAGGACACGTTTTATTCAGATTTATCTTTAGTGAAAGTAGTACGTGAGCTTCCTGCTTAACCCCTACAATTTGTGAAATGATGTCGGGCAAACAGATTACTGATCCTTCTGCCTTTTCTTGGTCTCTTTGTTCTCCCTTTCCTCCTCCTGTGCTGCAGGTCTTGTTTTCTGGGGAGTGGTTCTCTCTGTGATGGTGCTACCTGTGGGCATGCTGTCATTTTGGCAATGGAAGGCCTGCAAGAAACGGATCCTCATCCTCAAAAAAAAACGTGAGTTTTAAAACTGTGGTACAGAACATGCTGCTTAATCTTCCCACCTGGGAATTACAGCATCCTAAAATGCTACAGAGGACAGGAGGGGAGATGATACTTCCTAATGCCTGGTGAAGACAGGTCAGTTAAGGGTTCTAGGCAAGCTGCTCTCCATCGTGTTGGAGAATATTCTCAAAGAGTCATAGTTGGGTTGGAAGGGAATTCAAAGATCATCCAGTTCCAATCTCTGCTCTGTGCTGGTTCCCAACCACTAAATGAGGCACTGGATCAGGCTGCCCAGGGCCACCTCTGATTAAAGTAGCTGTGAATGTATGGAGGAAGATGCTACAGATGGGAGGTGGTGACCTTTTAGCTTTAGTTTTTGGAACTTGTCAGTCCTCTGCAGGCTGGTAAGGCTGTGGATGTGACAAGCCGCTAGATGGCTCTTCCTCCCCACTGCATGGGCACTACTGGGTGATGCGTCCAGCAGGGAGGCTGCTGGAAAAATGCACAGCTCACTTCTGAGCACTCAGATCTGGGAAATGTGTTCCAAAAAAAAAAAAAACAAAAAAACAAAGCAGAAGTGGATGTTCGCCATAGCAACCCATACAGATCCCCTACAGTGCATACATTCTGCTCAGCTAACTAGCATCTCCACTGACTGCTCTGTTCTGTTGCGGTGGATGTTTCTGACTGCACTGCATCGGAGCATTTCTGCTTATTTACTCAGGAATATGACTTAACACTTCTCATGTGAGCTCAATTTTCTCAAAATGGAATTTTTCCTTCCTCACGTGGTTTACACGATAAACAAAAATGTTACTGTGCATCATTGTAGTGCTGACATATTGAAGGTAACGATGGCTGTGCGTCAGAATGAAACTAGATAGGAGGCATCTAGCTTTGTATAGAATCATGAGATCACAGAGTGGCTGGGTTGGAAGGGACCTTAAAGCCCATCCAGCCCCAGCTGCTGCCATGGGCTGAGTGCCCCCCACCAGCTCAGGCTGCTCAGTGCCCATCCATGGCCTTGGACACCTCCAGGGATGGGACACCCACACCTCTCTACGCACCCCCAGTGTTCCTTTCCTCCATCCTTGCATATTATTATTGTTTTTTGATAAATAAACTTTGATAAGAGAGTCTTCTGCTGATTTGGAAGGCTTAATCAGTTCATCATGTGATTAGATGTGATTAGATGAATGCTGGTTTTGGTGTGTGGAAAGCAATGGGTGTGGGCACAGAGGGCTCTGGGGAGAGCAGGATCTCACATGCTTGGCAGCAATGTGTCCCTGGATCACCTCAGCCCTTCAAGGAAGTGTGAGGTCAGTGGTAAGGAGAGCATAATGCAGGTGAGTGGGGCTGTAGAGTAGTCTAGGACATGGGTGGGTGATATTTCAAAGCAATTAATATTCCTGTGATTACTATGAATTCTTTTCTGACAAATCTTCGTCTTTCCATTACAGGTTCTGATCTAGTGGACAAATATGCAGTAAGTGTCAACCATATTCCAAAACAGGTCAATTTCCATTCCAGTGTAAATAATTAACGATCTTTTTCAGTGTCCTGTTAAAAAGTGCTGGCCTTTTTATTTGGAATTGTAATCCACGATCGTTGAGGTGCAGAGATGAGACAAATTAGGAACTGCCACTTTCATGTCTTGGGCTATGTTCAAATGTGGCCTTAAGGAATACAGGAACGCAACTCAAGGGAACTTAAGTTCCTAGATCTGCTGGGCACTTTGCTTTTTTTCAGTCCCCGTTGACAGTGGTGCTGTTCTTTTATTTCTGCCTGCCACAGAAATCTTCTGTCGACCTCTTGCAATCTTCACTGTGTTGTTTTTGCACTGACTCTTCTTCCGCTCTCCTCTTTGTGTTGGCAGAAGATCACACTGACCACTGACAAATGTCCAGAAGAGGAGGAGTTCACTGATAGAACCCTTCCTTTGGAAACCAACAACAACTTGATCTCCAGTGCTGAAAAAGCAGGCAATCCTGTTCTGAGTCTGACTGAAGTGACGCAGAGCAATGGAAAAGCCCCAGACTGCCCCATTGATTCTCAAGTGAGAGACCACACAAATAATCAAATCGGTGAGTCTTGAGTTATTTTCATTTTTTTTTACCTTGTCATTTTTTCAACCCTGGGCATAGAATATCATCCTGAAATTATTGGCAAGCTGGAAAAGTATTTAGAATTTCTAACAGAGATGGCCGTGGCCTCTTGACTTTGTACTGTAATCAAGTTGGTTTGTATTGTTATTATTGTCATTATTTTTCTGCATCAGTCAAATCCAAAGACTTAAAAACAGCTAAACTGATCCAGAACTGTTTTCTTAAGGCTGCTGGAAACCAGTTCTGCTTTTCTGGGAGGCAAAAGACAAAGCACAGAAAAAAACAAGGAAAAGCAGAAGCAGAAAATGCATCTTCTGTTCTCACTGCTGCAGACCAACAAGGATTTCTGTTACCCCAACTAACTCAAAGAACAGGCTTTTGCAAAATGCTTACTCCCTGTGTGGGGTGGGAGAAAGCTGTAGAGGGACAGTCGAAAGAAATGAACAGCAGAACTCACTACCATTCCCTGCTCCTGTTCCAGTCCTCTCTGTGTTGCTTATGAAGATGCTTTTCTTGTCAGAATGGGCTCAAATCACAAAGAAACGTGGGCATGCAAAGCCAAAACTTGTTTGCTAGCCTGTAAAATACTGGAACGTAGCCATGTTAGAATGGCATAGATTGGAAGAGACCTTAATGCCCACCCAGCCCCAACCCCTGCTGTGGGCTGGTTGCCACCCAGGGCAGCTCTTTCTCTAACTTAGATTTAAACCACTGTGTTAGTTTTCTGAATTAGGTACTTACTTCATGACAGTGCAAAGCAGGGGAGGAAGGAGGCCTGTCTTCTGCAGAAGAGGTTAACCAGGATCCCAGAAGGCACTCATGGGGCCTGTGGAAGGTACTTAGGTTGTAGATAAGCTTGCCATGGGCTGTGGCTGTGCTTGATGATAAGAAGGAAGGTGGAAGCTCTCGGTAGTTCTCATTCCAAGCTGCCAAAAGAGCAACACCCTTTGGTTAGTTGTTGGGAAATAGCTTTTCAACTGTCCCTGTGAGAGGTTTGATCTGCATGTGTCTGACTAAAAAAAGGAGAAAATAAAAACTGAATACCAAGTCAAAGTTTTGCACGACAAAGAGCCGTCTCCAAGAACAGCAGTACTGTTGCCCGTGCTCAGCATTACTTCTCTTTTTTTTCCTTTCTCAGGAAAAATATTCATCATGAACGCCGATACTGTTATTGTGGGGTCTTCAAAAACGCCTGGTATCAAAAACTGTACTGCTAGGGGATGTGAAAGTGATGTTGATATCCAGGAAAAGATAGAAGAGGAGCTGCCAGTGCACTATCCAGAGCAGGAGACAGAGGTCTTTCCAGGGAATGATGTCATGATTCCTGTGGAAGAGGAAGGAAAGGAATTCCATCACCCCACCACAGCCACTGAAAAGTGATGGCCAGCTGAGAAGGTGTGTGAAGCTATGAAAACATCCAGTGTGACACTAAGCCTGAATCTACACTGAGGGAGGTGAACCCAGAGTTTCTTACACAACCTGAAAACTAAAGCGCCAAAAACATTCAACTTATTTCATCCAACCAACGAGAGGATCATCCAAACCACTGGTTGACATCAAATCTTTTCCTTGCTCTCCCCAGTATCACACTGGAAACAAACTGGAATCAAAGTTACAGAATTCAGAGGACGTGTGGATGCGAACTCCAGTTACACAGTTTGCTTTCTCTGCATGAAGGGATGGAATTAAAATGGTTATTCCTTTTAGCTCTGAAAACTCTGGATGGAATTCTGAGTTAACCTTGAGACCCAGCCATGTTTCACATTTGTTCTCCATTGTACTTCAGACCAATCCTTCTGTTTGTTTTTAAGCCTGATTCACGTTTCTTCAATTCTTGAGGTCCCTTCCCAAGCCATTCTGTGATTATGAAATCATTCCTAAGTGCAGAAAACATCCTCTTCTGATTGAAGTCAGACTGGCTGAACGTTTGGATGTCGAATGAACTATGGGTGAAGGGCAATGCAGACTGCAAAGGGGAAAAGAAGAACTGGGTTTCTACAAAAAACAAAATAATAGGCACAGCAATAATTTCCTTGAGTTGTTAATATCTGCTTGTTTTAGAAGAATTGTTCGTGTTCATCACAGTGACACTGATTTGCATGTCTGTTCCTCAGAAATAATTCTGTTTGGTTTTGTGGTCAGCTGCCCCGTGTTACGCAGTTTCAGGTCTTTTAATGCTGCATGTTTGATAACTGTAAATGCTGTGGTGCTGACTGCTTTTGTGCAGGAGCACGGAAAATGAACAGGGTGACAAAGTGTGCCTTAAGGGTCAGAAAAAAAGGAACCACAAAAAGAATTTCTTTGTAGTTTTATCCTGGACAGAGGTCTGTGATAACAGCAGTGCAACTTCAGCGTCTTGTCTGAGAGCCTACAAAAGGAATAGAGAAGCACAAAATCACCTCCTCAGGCCAGGCTCACCGTGCAAGTTGCCTAATATTTTATCTCTGTGCTATTTAGGGAGAGCGCGTAAGTGCAGTTAATATCTGCTCTTGTCATGCCTCCTAATTCTGCAGCATCAGCTGTAACTGGACCGAGAACATTGAAGTTTGACTCAGCCTTTAGTGTTCTTGTTGCCATTGCTTGGTGTTTTAAATCTCTTTTGAGTTTCCTGGTATAATCTTCCTCCACAACTACCCCGTGACAGCAGATTACTGACAGTTACCTCTCACTGTGTAAAGGAGTACTTAGATACTGCTTTTAAGCTGACTTCTGACTGACTGCAGTGAGTGTCACTAGTTCCTGTGTTACAGAATGTAATGGAACGCTGACTTGCCTCAATGATTCTTGCCTGTCTCCTCCCCATTCCTATCACTTTATATTTCTTATCTCAGTCACTTCATTGCCTCGGTCATTTTAGTTGGCCTCATCCTTATCTTCTTTCACCTCACTGTGGACTGCTGGAGATGTGGAGACCTGAACCATACATTTAAGAAGAGGAGATACATATTTGTTGTTGTTCATAGAATCATAGAATTGGGTTGAAAAGGACCTCAAAGATCATCTAGTTTCAAATCCCCTGCCGTGGGCAGGGTTACCAACCACCAGACCAGGCTGCCCAGAGTTGTTGTCCTTGCACAGGTGACTTCAGAAGATCATCCAAGACAGGGAAGTATAGGATAAGGGGGAATGGTTCAAAGTCAAAAGAGAGAGGAGATTTAGGTTGGATATTAGGATGAAATTCTTTACTAAGGGGGCAGTGAGGCTCTGGCATTGCAGCCCAGAGATGCCCCATCCCTGCAGGTGCCCTGAGTAGCCTCAGTTGGTGGTGGGATCTGAAACTCTGTGATCTTTAAGGTCCCTTCTAAGCTGTGTCATTCTATGATTTTCTAAGTTAAATCATCCTATGATTTTTCTAAGCTTCTGCATGAAACTGCCCCCAGCACCGATTCCTATGACCCCACTGCCACCTGTTCTCTATCCTGAAAGATGACTGTTGTGCCGTGCTCTTTCCTTCCTGCTTTTTGAACAGCTCTGACTTTCCTGTCCCGTAATCTTTTGGGAAATCCTTAAACTGCCCTTTCCTAAGCTGACTCTAGGATGACTTAGTTTTATTAATGACCTTTAGGTATGGAGCCTCTTTGGCTTTATGAAAATCTTCATGTATTACACTGGATGTCCTTCATCCATTCAACCTGAGCCATCATCCATTCAACCTGAGCCTTCATCCATTCAACCTGAGCCTTCATCCATTCAACCATATAAGAGAATGTATGTTACGCAGATTTTGTGACTGAAGAAATAAATCACAAGAAATTGATGCTTTCTTGGGCCCACAGCCCCAGAAATGAAGTGGGAGAATCTCAGCATTATGGGACCTCGTTGTTGACATCCAGCAATGGATGATCTACCTGCACATGGTACATTTGAGACCTGGTTCTAATTCCAAGTGCTCTTAGTTCCAGTATTTACTTGAATTCTGCACTTCTCTGCTAGTCCAGAACATAATATAATTCCTAGAAACACCCGCTGTCACTCCATGTTCAGGAATGCTCAGATGGCAATTTCCTGTGGCCATCAGTGCTGCCACATCAATGGGAGCAATGGGAGGGGAGGAGGAAATGGAATTCATGTGTTCTGGGGGCAGAGGTTGTGCGTACTGAAACAGCAATGGGAGGAGGAACTGAAAACTTCCCGTTAAAGACTGGAGACCATTCCCTCGCTTCCAGCAAGTGTTCATTCTGCCCAGCACGTATCATTCCTTCTAGAACAACACAGCAATGACAGTTTCATGTTAAAGGACAGCAATTTGTTCATCCACAGCCTTGGAATGACCGCGCTCACCTGACTGTCGCTGCTGAGGGATGCTCAGCAATCAGGCTGTATTTCAGGGCTGGGCATAAACGAACCTTTGGGTTTTTTCCTTATAACAATTTTCTGGATGAACAATCAGCCTTGCAACCTCCGTAACTTCAATCTCGGTGTGATATGAATTAAACACGCCCTGGATTTTTACCCTACAGCCGCACTTCTTGTGTCTGCGATGTCCTGTCTCTTCTCCAACAGCTCCATTGCAGCTCCTCGGAGCACCTTGGAAGCCACGCAGCTTTTAACATCCCTCCGTCGGCTCCAACCCCGCGGTCTCTCGCTGGCGGGCAACCCCTCGGTTCAGCCCCGCCGGCAGCGGAGCGGCTCCGGGTTCTGTCACAGAGCCTCAGCTCCGCCCAGCCCTCACCGTGATGGAGCCTTGCTGGGCGCTGCTGGCCGCGCTGCTCCGCGCCGCGGGCGGCCGGGTGAGTGCGGGGGGTGGCCGGGGGGCGGCGGGCGGAGCTCGGAGCGCTTCGGGAGCCTCGGGCAGCGCTTCCAAGCATGGTCCAAGCTCGCCCCGCTCCCTTTGGCTTTGCAGTTGGTGTTTTCTAGCTTCCCAAAGCCTCGACAAAGGGGCTTGAAAAAAGCTCGTCGTGCTCTGCTACATCCCTCGCACCATCGCTGTGTACATGGCAGAGCCCTTGGTTGTACTTTTAAGAGCTGATGTGATGCAGCTGTGGCTGTTCCATGATTTTACTGAATTCTGTGGTTAAAGGAGTCCTTCAGTTATTTAGACCAAAGAGCTCAGTGGGGTCTTTGATTGGGTTTATGCTATGCTGATACATCACTAACCTTTTTCCATCTGATTTTAAAGTGCATAAGGTAAACGTGGAAAAGACTTTAGAGACCCCAAAACCACAGAATGGTTGGAGTTGGAAGGGACCCTAAAGGCCATCAGGTCCAACCCCTGCACTGAGCAGGGACACCCACAGCTCCATCAGTGCTCACAGCCCCATCCCCTGACCTTGGGTGTCTGCACCTCCTCTCTGGGCACTCTGTGCAGTGCCTCACTGCTGTCACTGAAAAAAATCTTCCTTGTATTCAATCTCAATCTCTCTTCTTTTAGTTGGAAGCCGTTTCTCCTTGTCCTGTTGCTCAGAGTCTGTCTCAGCTCATTGGGTCTTTTTGTGCCACGGGGGTCATTTCCATGTTTCTTTCATCACAGTAGTTGAGCCTTTAGGTAAGGCAAAGGCTGAGTTCAGCCCTGGGTTGTATGGTGGCACTATTGGTTCACTAAGTGGCTGCATGGGGCTCTGAGCACTGATGGAGCTGTGGGTGTCACTGTTCCTTCCAGTTAGTTGGACCTCATAGCCTTGAAGGGTCCGTTCCAACACAAGTGATCCCATAATTCCAAATACCTTGGACACAGTAGGGTAGGATGGGTGTGGGAATATTGGAACTGTGGTAGACCTTCTCAACAAAGAGTGAGCATGGAGGTTTGCCATGCTTCTTGCTGCCTCCCTCAACAGAGGGCTTGCATTCAAAAGGAGCTAACTCTTCTCTCACCCAAAGCATGATGCTCTCATGGTAAAGAGCACAGGAAAGCTTCCGTGTCACTTTTTGCATGGCCTTCAGGCTCCTGGCAAACCAAATGCTGCAAATGGCCACTGTACATCAGTTTTTACTCAACTAAAGAGAGCAGATTTTTATCTTTCAAGGAGAAAAGCTGGCAGAGCAATAGCTCCTGAGTGACACGCTTTTTTCTTGTTTTCTCCCCCCTAATTTATCTGGAGGGAGAAGGGCTGTGGGGCACCCAAAGCTTTCTGTTGTGTGTTCCTTCCCATAGGATGGGAGAACAATTCCAATCATGGACCTTTTTCTTAACCCAACCTTGCAGTGATACGTGAAGAAAAACAACTTTAAAAGATGCTCTGAGTCTCACTAGTAAAGCCTGATGTCCTGGTACAACTCCTGCTGATCTGGGTGAGAATTGCAGGTATTTAAGATGACCTTCCATTGAATTCTTTCTCTAAGTGACCAGTATACATATTTTCAGTAGAATTTTGTGGGTTTTTTATTTTTTTTTCATGTCTTTAGCACATTTGGTGGCCCAGCAAGTGGTATCTCTGTACTCTGAGACTTTTCCATAGCAACAGATGTTTACATCAGTCTTTGGTGACTTCATTGTGGTTTCACATGCGTTAAGAATGTCAGGTGCAGTTCCTGTTCAAGCTACTTTGTTTGACAGCATCAGTTCGAAGACTGAAGGAGAAAAGGTGTAGAAATGTGAGTTAGGTTTAAAAAACATGGATCAATCTCTTTGTTTTGGATGACTGCGTTGAGTGGAAGGGAAAGTTATACAAATGGCTGAATATATAAATATATATATCATAAGCTTGTTTTATTTCTAGTATTGAAGTTCTCAAATATAATTACAGATGAAGTCCATGGATACAAGCTGTAAGGCAAGAGGTAACAGAAATAACTTCTGCTCTAATTAGCACTCAGCACTTAGGGAATGCTTTTCATTGTCATATGCCATGATTTCTGATCTTGTCCTTCCTCACCTGTGTGTAGAGCCATGTTCTCATCCCCTTTAGTTCTGAAGAAGTCTGAATTCCCATTGTGACTCAGGCTCAGCTCTGGCACAGATATTGGGCTCTCAGTTGCGGTTGACCTCCATATGTAGGCTTTCACTTGTGCTGTTCCACTGCAGGTGCTAACCAGAAAGTCACAAGGCAGTGATGTACTCTGCTAATTTATCTCCCTGTGGGTAAGATAGAGGGAATCTTGGAAGCAACTGTGCAGACATATTCAGAAGAGTCAGCACTGACCTCTTAGGTGGACGGCGGCTGCTTTTAGTCCTCTCTTCTCAGTGATAAATCTTGTCTCGTGGAAGTCTGTAGTGCAGATGGGAAAGTGATGCAAACAATGCAACAGCTCTGGAGAGAGGATCTTGAGTAATTTGGATGGCTTTTTGGATGTAACTTCTCAGTTACTGCCTAATACACAGGCATTGCAAAAGTCTCTTCAGTGAGCTGTGCAGTCAAGGGCAAGCCCAGAAGTAACCCCTTGATACTTTGGGCCATCTCTCATCTTTCTAGTGCTGATATCCCATCACCAAGATGTATTGCCTAATCTGACTGATTGGCATTGCAGTGGAGATGCTTACTAACGTTTGTGCCTCTGCTGCTAGATGGATGAAGCGTTTCACCTTCCAATTGCACCTCTCAAATTAAATGAAGTCTTCCAAATCCCATCACCCAGCAGTGGGTTGGATATTAGGAAGAGCTGCTTCTCCAGAAGAGTGGTCAGGTACTGGCATGGGCTGCCTAGGGAGGTGGAAGGGGTCAAGAACTGTGGAGATTGTGGCACTAAAGGGACATGGCTTAGTGAGCAATACTGGGGGTGGTTGGACTTGGATGGTGTTGGAGGTCTTTTCCAACCTTAATGATTCGATGATTGTGAATCACTGAATCCTTTTGGTTTTCCCATAATGGTCTTTAACGTAATTTGGCAAGAAATTGTGAACTGCACACCACTGAGAGCCACAGCTCAGCAGATGAACTTTAGAGTTGTTATCAGTCAGCAGAAATATCCTTTCAAGCACAAGTTAAGAGGAGCAGATGTGACCCATTGAGCAGCAGTTTTTCTTGTGCCTCTAACACTCTGGACAGTAATTGCAGCAGAGAACACAGAGGATGTGATAACAACATTTTTTTGCTGGGAAGCCTTACCAGCAGGATAACCTGTGATGTGGTTTGATGCATTTCCTTCTCGCTCTCTTTTTTTTTTTTTTGTATGTGTTTTCAGTGAAATTTTCCTCTTTAAAAAGGCTCTTCAGTATGTGCATTAATGAAGTGTATCATAGCGACAGCAAAAATGCAACTTTGATCTTCCTTTAATAAGCGAAAGAACATGAAATAGTTTTGATAGCAGAGCCCATTTCCTGCCCTTCAACAGAGTACATTATCAGCTCACATTTGCAAATAGTGTTGTACGTCTATAACTCATTGCCTGTTACCAACTTCAGCATTAACAGTCATCAGCAAACCTAGAAGGTATTGAAAAGCCTAAGTTTTTTGGTTATCTCATTGGTAATGTTGAAGCCAACCTCATGGTTCTGCTTCAAAGTCTTCAATCCTTGTGCCAAAGCCCCTTTATTAACTCAGTTTTCTTCGCTGGAAGCTGCATTTCAAGATGCTGCATTAAAAAAATGTTGGGTTCCCATTGAGCAATTGTTGAGAGTGCCAAGTGTTAGGTCTTCTAATGTGAAAACACAATAGAGAATCAACGTTTTTCGGTAAGGAGGAAGGATATTTTCATTACTGGCCTTCAAAGGGCTTGTTCCTGTTTTGATTTCTCCTTTTCATCATATTTTTTAAGTACTTCTCTAGGCGTGTAGGTTATACATGGAACAATCTCCTCAGCCCAGTTGTGTATGCCTTGAGCAGCTCCTCTCTGCTCTAGCAGGAAACTCCTACACTTCTGCCACCTAACATTTGCTTCTTTTCTCTCGCTCATTGAGTGCCTATTTCCTTTTGCAGAGGAGGCCCTTGGGTATTTTCACATTTGTTCATTGAAGTCATCGAGCAGCGTTGATTGGTGGTGGGGTCACCATCCCTGCAGGTGCTCAACAGAGTTGTGGCTCTGAGGGACGTGCCCAGTGGGCATGGTGGGATGGGTTGGGGTTGGACTGGGTGATCTTAGAGCTGTTTTCCAACCTTAGGGATTCTACTGACTTTTCACTGAGCTGTTTTGTAGAAAATGCAGCTCCCCGCAATCACAAAGGTAAGAATTGAAGTTTTCCTCTGGTATTTTCTCATGCTGAGTCATGAGAAAAAGGTCAATCCTTCGCTGACCTTTAAGAGTCTCTTTGACTACACTGAAGGGCCAGGATGGATTGGTGACTAATGATTTTCCTTTAATTTCTCCTAGAATTATTCACTGCCTTATGCACCACAGTCTGCACAATGCAGAGACCCCAGCACTGAATTCTATGAAGAAAGACTTGAGAAATGTTGCAGCAAGTGCCCTCCAGGTAGGTTCTAATTTAAATTATTCTTTTACACAGCCAAATTCAGCCAGCGCTCAGATGACCATACCACATTTTGGTTACTGACACACCTGAAAAGCATCCAGTTTTTGCTGTTATTATTCACTCTCATCAGGAAGACAATAAAATGCTCAAAAAATATTTTCCAACGGGACACACTGTTAGTCAGAATTGGCATTCTCCTGCAAGTTTAACTTGGCTGGGGCTTATCAGGAGGATTGTGTACTTGTAGCCACAGCTTTTGATGGTATTTTGATTGAAGCATTTTTAACTGAACTGTTAAAAAAAAAAAGAAATGGAACAGAAGTGAAATTACGAAAACTAAACAACGTAGAATTGCAGAATGGCTTGGCTTGGAAGGGACCCTTAAAAGGCTGCTTGGTCCAACTGCCTGCAATGAACAGGGGCACCCACAGCTCCATCAGTGCTCAGAGCCCCTCCAGCCTGAGACCCACATGAAAACAAAGCCCACGAACAACAGATAAATTGCAGAACAGAGCGTGAGGTAGAGCTTAATTTCTGTACTTTGACATGTCACTTACACAAGGGGCTTTCCACTGGGCAGGTTAATCTCTGATTGCTCATTAAGGGAGTTTTGTTGTCTTTTAGCATAAATCAGACGCTGCAGATGTCTATCAGAGAGAGACCAGGTACAAGACTACAAAAACTGCCTGCTCTGAGGCTATGTCTGACACTGCACTGACCATTATTAATGTTCCTTTGTTAGCAAAAGTTGATTGCAGATTGGGTTTGTGGAGAGTGGTTGTTTATTTATTTATTTTATGGTACAGGTAATGCCCTGTGGATACTTTAACAGAGCTTTTGCAAAAAGCTGGCATTGTATGGTTGTGTTAAAGGCAGCAAAAAAAGCCCTGTGTATTTGTCTCACAACATGCTGAGCAAATAGAATTTGTCTCCATAAGCGCTGAGTTCCTGTCAGAGAGATCAGGAAGTTTAAGCAGGAGATCAGTATGTGCTGAAACAGCCACAGTTGTTTTTGAATTAACTGAAAATGTCCTGAGAGATCTGTCGAGCATCTCTCATTAAAAACACAGTAAGGGAAAGATGGTAATTTGTAATTGAAACTTTTTTTCTGTTGTAGTTTGTTAAGTCTGTAAGAATACCTCCTCCCCTTAATTTAAACTAAAAGAGGGGAGATTTAGGTTGGATTTTAGGAAGAAATCTTTTACTCAGAGGGCAGTGAGGAGCTGGCACTGCTGCCCAGAGCTGTGGGTGCCCCATCCCTGGAGGTGCCCAAGGCCACAGATGGGCCCTGGACAGCCTGAGCTGGTGGGGGGCAGCCTCCCATGGCAGGGATTGGGACTGAATGGTCTTTGAGGTCCCTTCCAACCCAACCATTCTAGGGTTCTGTGATTCTAATTTTATTGTTTTGACTCTGGGCAATGTGTTGTAGGAGAGCCAAAGATCTTTATTTTTGTTGTTATGAATTTGAATTATTATTGTTTTTTAATAATAATGCATCAAAAATTTTAGCCTAAAGTCATTAGCAGGATGTCATTAGCAGGATGGAGGAGGAGGCTGCAAGTAAGTACATGGAAAAACAAACTTGAGAAGCAATTTCCCTGGCTCACCTCCAGGGCCACTTGTTTTGAAGAATGGAGATTTTCCAAGAAGTTCCAAAGACTTTCTTAACGATGCCTCTTCCTCATGACTCTTCAGGATATTTCTGTGCAGGATATGAGACATTGGCTATTATCTTCTTCTTTTTTTCGTACAAGGGGGAAATGGCACCTGACTGTTTTTCATTCTTTAAAAAGAATACTTAAGAGCTCATACTGATTGTAACTACTGCACTCAACTCTGTTTCTGGTGAGAGGCATGGGTTTGCCTCTCACCAAAAAACCACTTGCTAAAACCTGTCTGTTCGCCACACTGTGATCCTCGAGAAGCTGAAATTGAGCAGATCCTTGGTATTGCTTGCAGTGCTAGGAGCTGCAGAAACTCATTGCTTTAGTTGTTTTGTTTCTTACAGGTCAACGTAAGGCAGAGAGCTGCGGTGGCAGCATGGACACAAAGTGCATCCCTTGTTTACCTGACAGCCATACAGCCATCCGGAATCTGTCTCCTCAGTGCTTTGCTTGCTCTCCACCCTGCAGGAAAGGTACTTGTGCATTGTGAAGGAGGTGTTTCCCTTTTACAGCCTGCCCAAAGAGATGGCTTGGTTTAAAGGAGGACGGTTGGACTAAGTGATCTTGCAGGTCCTTTCCAACCCTTTCATTCTACGATTCTATGAAATGTGACTGGGAAAACTCTTAGAGTGTTTGTCTGTCACCTGTATAGTCCTGTTCTTAATGCTTTTGCTGCTTGTTAAATTTTGGAAAAAAATTAGAGCACGGCCTTGGAGGTGTATGTATGGTTATGATACGCTGTGATGCAGCTGCAGACAGAGAGTTTCAAGTGTGACTGGTATGGATGCAAATTTCACCTCTCTAGACAGACAAAACTCTTCTAAAAATGTAGATGTTGGGGCCCGTAGTGTATTTGCTTTAAGATGATATTCTAGCCAGAAACTGCAAAATTGTCTTTAGTTTGTGGTGTGTGAGCACGCCTCATATTCACCCAAAACATTGCAGACCACAATTTGAAGTGTTGCAAATGTAATCTTGTTTTATTCTTGTTTTCAAAACAGGATTTGTAGAGCGTCACACGTGCACGCTATCACAGGACAGGACCTGCAGCTGCCCACCCAACAAGTACTGCATTTCAAAGATGTAAAGTGCATAAAAATGGGGCAAAGGTTACCGAGTCTCCAGAAGAGGTAATTTAATTCTCAGCTCTCAGAACTCACACACACAGTGGTTGTATGGTTTGAAGATGGTTATTTGTTGCCTTCATAGTCCGTAAATGTTTCTAAATCTGCCTCCAATTTGGTGAATTATAGGAATGGTGTCTTAATTCCTACAGTTGTTTCCAAATCTGCTTCCAACTGAGTAAATTACAGGAATATTCCCTTAATTCCCTACAGCTACGTGTTCATTTGAATGGAAGTGTTGTCACAGCAAGTAGGCAGTGCATAGCACAACAGTATTCCCAAGGGGAACGTCCAAGGGAACAGAATATGGGTGCCTTTTGTTGACATACCAGAAGGCTCCCCAACACAAGCAGAGCTTCCAGCTGAATTTTGGTTTAATTAGGCGATGGTGATTCTGTGCTGCCCTGTAGAATGAGTCTCTGTGTATTAGATGTTGAAATTCACCACTCTGATAAGCACAGCTGTCTCAAGATGATAAATAATATCCAAAGATGTAGAACGTTGGATGTAATTAAGGATAATAATACAGAGCTCCAACAGGGTTCAGTAGGTGATCAGCCTACCAGGGACTAGTGGGAAAAAGCTCCACTGTTATCTCTAATGCCCCCTTTTTAACATTTTGGTAGGTTTTAACAGTCTGAAAATGGCTGGCTACCAAGAGCACCAAAATAGCACCCGATGAATCTTCTGATCTGTGTTTGGGTGGGGTGTTTCAGATTAACCTCACCCATGACAGACTGTATGTTGTGTACTGCCTCTGTATCAATTTCAGGATCTGCACCGCAGACTTAGATTATTCATTCTTATTTCTCACTAGATGACTAACTGGAGTTTTCTATTTCTTTTAAGGAACAGAAGCACAGACACAGAATGTAAGCCCTGTCCCCCGTAAGATTCAGATGAGGAATCTTATGATACCAGCTGCATACTACATACAGTGTAAGCCAGATTCTGTTTAATAGCAATCTTGAACTGAAGACAGGGTTGCTTTCTTTCCTAACTTCTCTTTTTGTTTCTTGCAGTTGTAAACCAGTGGCTGTTGCAGGAAACGGCGTGAATGATGCTGTTTGCCATGACTCAGTTGCCACATTTCTGCCTCACACTGTTATAAACCTCTTCCCCCCAAGCCAAAGCTCAACTTCCAGCAATGGTGAAGTAGTAACACAGCCTGTCATTTTCAACTCCGTGCCTGACATGTCCTACATCACTGGTGAGTTGTTAACTCGTTTAAAGTCACTTCTGTCTGGCTTGGAAGCAAGATTATCTTTAGTTGACAGTTTCTTTCCAAAACCAATTACCTGCACCCAAACAGAAGAGCTGAGTTAATTCAGTGACACTGCTTGTGTTGGGTTGCATAATGTCACATCTGTCCTGCCTTGCTGCATTCCACAGTCACTGTAATTCTTTATGTGTTTCTAAGAAGCCCGGAATTAGATGATACAATGCACTTCCTGAGAGTTAGTGCTATAAAAGCTGGAAGAAAAGGTTTATGTGTTAGATGTTTGGCCAAGCCTGACTAACAGCAGCCCAATCTTTATAGCGTTCACAAGTGTGGACGTATTCTCTGCTGTTCATAGTCTGTCCAAAAGGCAGCTATGTTTAAGAGCATTATGGACTGCCTGAATTTGTATTTAATGAACTGCTCCTAGCTTAATGAGATACTTTTTATTGCCGTGGTGAAAAGTCTGTCTTCACATTTCAGAACAGGAAAATTCAGTTTTAAGAACCAGTGGAGTCTGAAAACAAGACTTTGGTATGTAACAAGAGAGATATTGAATGTGACCATCAGACCTCCCTGGCACTTTCAAATTTAGCTGTTATAGCCATGGACAGAAAGCTATTGCTTCTCATGCAGTCCATTGTCAGACTGACCTGCTATGTAACTTACCTGCTTCAGTTTTATTTTCAGGATCAGTGACAGGGTCGTTGTTATTGGGCCTGATAATTGCTGTTATGGGGTATTGTTTATTCTCCAAAAAAGAGGTAAGATTCATGAAACAAAACCAAACAGCTCTGGAAGTACTGTCACCTCATTTCCTGCTAATTTGAGCCCAGCAGGTGACCGATTTATGTATCCTAGCAGGCACTGGCTCTCTTTGAAACTTGTGAGTCATGTAGATTCATTGATGACATAAGCATGCACCAACTGAAATTTATAATTAAGCAAATATGCCAGGAACATCGTGTGCATTTCAAGTGTCTTTATTAAATCACGGAATGAAATTGAGCTCAGGACAGAGATACACTAAGGCAGATGTCCCGCTCAGAGCTCTCATGTTGCTCAGATTTTAAACACGTGGTGTACCAGAGGAGTTGGACAACTGTGAAACCATTGTGCTCCTACTGGAACTTGTTTGTTACATATTTTACACGTAATGTAAATATTACACATTATCAAGTGCTGATAGTTACGATTAAACAACTGCAGCCATAGTCGTTCATGAGTGAGAGCTTTTCTCAATTACACAAAACTAGAAATAATAGGAATTTATACAGAGGGTCTTCTTAATACTGAAATTTATGGCAGCTTGTAAAGTTAATAGAGTACAACTTTCAACACTATGCACTAAACATACAGTCGATGTTTATTCTGGGAGCAGGGGCTCCATTAGCTAAAAAAGCAGCTGTTGTAACTGCAACAAATTTTGCTGCTAATGAACCACCTTTCCTCAATTGCAGCCCTTGCATACTCACAACCAACTGAAGCAGTGGATTTGATGAGTGTCACTCACTCCTTTCCTTCAGAAATCATGCAGTTTTATGTAACTGAGAGCATAAGAAAACTGCACAGCAGGACAGTGAGGAAGGAGTGGCCTGGACCTCAAGCTAGAGTGGAAGGTGTAACTCACATAACCTGTCCATTGAGCTCATTGAATGGCCAATGAGCTAGTATGAATTTTACTTGGTGTACATTTGCATAGTGATGACTATTATCAGTGGTTTCTTTAGATAAGTATTGACCACTTTCTGTTAACACTTTAAAAAAAGATTAATAGTTTGCATTGTTCTGTTTCAGCCGTTTTCCTCTACAGAGAAGCAGTGTGACAAAAAAAAGTAAAAAATGCAGAATTGCAAAGCTCCAGCAGTTCTGAACAGGAGGAGCAGCATCTCTTGGAAACTCCTGGCCCAAGCAGCAGCTCTCTGGATAATCCAGCTGGATCTGCAAGAGTCAGTGTAATAAATAACAAAGACAGTGATAAGAAAGAAAGTTTCCAACAGCATTATGCAGCTGCAGAAGGGTGTAAGCTTCGCTGTGGAGCCAGGCACAGCTCTGCAAGTTCAGGTAAGAGTGTCAACGAATGCATATCTGAACATTCCAGAACCTCTTGACGGTTGTCAAATACAAATCTTAATAGAAGTTTAAGTGAGAGGGTAGAGCATCAGATCCACGTTCATCAGAGAGAGTGCCCAGTTACTTTTGGAAAAAGGTTGTTTTAAATTGTTGGCCTAGAATAGTGAAGAGAGCATGCTCAGAGGAGAAAATTATCTGCACACTTTGGGGATCAGAGTAATGGGAGTGGGACAAGGAGACAGAGCAGTAAGAAATGAACGCTGTCTGAAGCATTCACCACGAGCAGAGACTCGGCTGGGATCCAGAGCTCTGTATTCATTTTTACAGCTTTTTTATATCAGGGATGACTTTGGGATTTGAGGGACCCTCCAAAAAACTGAAAAAGTTGCAGAATCACTTCCACCAGTTTGCCTAAATCAAGCAAAGGAAGAAGATGTAGAGTATGTAATTGAGCTTTTAAGCCAAAGAACTTGATAAAGAATCCAACATATTGTTCCAGGCTGCTTTCTTCCTTGCTTGATCTGTGTGTTTCTTTCTTATTTGACAGAACTCTCAGGTAATGGAGGAAGGCAGGTGAGTGTGACTCGTGTTGTTAAAATATGTAATACAGATTATGGCTCCCAGTTTCCAAAACAGACTGGTCCAGCTGGCATGGGTTATGGAAGTGCTCAATGTTCTCCAACAGGGGGAGAAGCTCCCCTTTCAAAAGAAGAAAACCCCTTGAAAAAAGAAACTGAAATTCAGATATTGGTGGAAGCCAAAGACAATTTACTTCAGGATTTACTTCTGGACACAGAATTCTCCTCTGGGTGTTCAAGATACGGGGATAAAAACTGTTTCAAGGAAATGACAGATTTTATACTGTTTGACTGATAATCAGATCAGCCCTTATGTTCACAACCAAACGTGTTTAGTGTAGCATTTCTACAGATTTGAAATCTCAGAAGAATTTACTTTTTTGAGGTTTTCAATCTCTTCTTTGTCAGCTTTGAGAGTAAAAGATGAGTTTTGAATTAGTTACTATTTTTTAATGCTTACCGATCTCAGGTAATGAACTCTCTCTTGAAGGTTGCGTAATCTATAAAAACTGGAAGTGACCCAGACCTCAGAACCAGAAAATCCTGTTCCATCGTTCATTTGTTGCTCAGTGCTGAGATCCATCCACCCACCTCTTATAGAAAATCAGTAGAACAGCATCTACTCTGCGAATGCAGATGAGAATCAGGCTTTTAAAACACATACTTTAAACTTGCGTATTACCGAAGAGGTTTATTAGTACTTCTAGAACTGAGAACTGGCAAATAGGTCTTTCATCCTACTATGAAGAAACATTTTATAACTTCATGTTAAACTTGAAGGTCATTTGATTTTGTATAATGCCCTTTTCTGTTGTACTGAGTATTTTAATGTCTTACCCAACAGCTCCCAGTGCTGGGAGCACACTGGAAGAGCAGTGTCAGAGTTTTGAAGAAGTTTAAGATTATGTTATAGAAGTTAAATTTCTGGCTTTTCAGAGTGTGGAGCAGAGAGAAGGGGAATTCAATTCTTATGTTGAAGTATGAAAAATGTGTTTGTATTTGTTAAGAAAAAGATAAATAGTGTGTTTTTATACTTAAACCTTTGTTTTCTACCTCCCTACTGAACCAAAATTCTACTTTTTAGAAGGGCTTGTTTCATTCTATAGGCTAAACCATTGCTTTTAAAGTCAAAATTGTATTTCATAGTACGTAATTAAAAGAGCATTGGTCCATGGCCACCTCATCTCCTATTGCCTACCGCCAGGCCCTGTTAACAAGGACACTATAAGCAACCATTACTCTTGGAGTGATGGCTTCAGTGGACAAAGGAAGGGCAACTGATGTTGTCTAGACTTATGCAAGGCTTGTGACATGGTCCCACACCACATACTTATCTCCAACTTGGAGAAGTAAGGATTTAAAGAGTGGACTATTCTGTGGATAAGAAATCAGTTGGATGGTTGCAGCCAGAGGGTTGTGGTCAATGTCTCTCGGTGCAGGTGGAAGCCAGTGATGAGTGGTGTCCCTCAGGGGTCCCTCAGGGGACTGGTGGTCTTTGTTATCTTTATCGGTGACATAGATGATAGGATGCAACAGTTCAGATGACCCTAAACTGATTGCTGCAGTTGACACCATAAAAGGGATCCATCCAAAGAGGTCTGGACAGGCCTGAAAAATGGGCCCAGGAGAACCTAATGATGCTCAACAAGTCCATGTGCAAGGTGTTGCACTTGGGTTGGGGCAGTCCCACATCTGTGTACAGACTAGGAGAAGAACTGACTGACAGCAGACCTGCAGAGAAGAACTTGGGAGTTCTGATGGATTCCTGGGCTCCATCAGAAAAGGTGTGGTCAGCAGGGACAGGGAGGTGATTGTCCCTCTCTGCTCTACTCTTGTGAGGCCCTATCTACAGCACTGTGTCCAGGTCTGGAGCCCCCAGTACAAGGAAGACAGGGAGCTGTTGGAGAGAGTCCAGAGGAGAGCCACAAAGATGATCAGGGGACAGGAGCACCTCCCCTATGAAGACAGGCTGAGGGAGCTGGGCTTTTTCAGCTTGGAGAAAAGAAGGCTGCGGGGTGACCTCATTGCAGCCTTCAGTACTTAAAGGGAGCCTACAAACAGGAGGGAAGTCAACTCTTGGAAAGGATAGATACAAGGGGACAGGACAAGGGGAGGACAAGGGGAAATGGTTTTAAGTTGAGGGAGGGAAGATTGAGGTTGGATGTCAGGGGGAAGTGCTTTACAGAGAGTGGTGAGGTGCTGGAACAGCTGCCCAGAGAGGCTGTGGATGCCCTGTCCATCCCTGGAGGTGTTCAAGGCCAGGTTGGATGGGGCCCTGGGCAGCCTGGTCTGGTATGAAATGTGGAGGTTGGTGGCCCTGCATGTGACAGGTGGCTTGGAGATTCATGATCCTTGAGGTCCCTTCCAACCTGGGCCGTTCTGTGATTCTGTTATTCCATGTGTGTGCTTGCAGCTAATTGTGTCCTGGGCCAGGAGGGATGTGGGGCTGTTGTAGCAGGTCCAAAGGAGGGCTGTGAGGATGCTCAGAAGGCTGGAGCACCTCTCCTACGGAGAAAAGTTGGGGGAGCTGGGCTTGTTCAGTCTGGAGAAGGCTCCAAGGAGGCCTACTGCAAGGAGACCTTGCTGTAATTGAGGGGTGATTATAAAGAAGAGGGAGAGCAACTAATAATAATGATAGGTCAAGCGGGAATGATTTTAAACTGAAAGATGGGGGATTTAGGTTAGATGTTACGAGGAAATTCTCTGTGCTCAGAGGGCAGTGAGGCCTTGGCAGTGCTGCCCAGAGCTGTGGGTGCCCCACTCCAGGAGATGTCCATGGCCACGGATGGGCTCTGGACAGCCTGAGCTGGTGGGGGCACTGAGCCCATGGCAGGAACTGGGGCTGGATGGGCTCCAACCGAAGCCATTCTGTGCTGTGAATCTCCAGCCTGGCCAAACTGAACTTTAATGCTTTGAAGAGCCAACTTGTTTACTGTAAATCGTGCGCTGCTGTAGTTTACACACCCGCAGCGTGGATGGAGGAGTCAATACTTTTCAGTTCTGTGTAGGTTCAGCGCTGATTCCCGCACAGCCAGGCTGCGGTCTCGTACGTCAGCCTGCAGCAACACAAGGGTGACAGCGCTGCGCCGCGAGCGCAGGAACAACACTCGGGCACAGCAACCGCATTTCCTCAACAAACCCTACACCCCCCAGCGCTGCCCCTCGGCGTACAGGATCCACAGGACCGCCCCCGGGGCGGCGTAGCACGGAACAGCCTGGTTCCGCCCCCTAAGAGGCGGGGAAGCTCCCATCGATCGTTCTGCGCTCTCCTCCCGCCCGGCTCTGCTTCTTCCCTTACGACGCTCGGCCGCGGAGTGCTCGGCTCCGCGCAGCGCTGCGGAGGTGGCGGTGGCGAGAGCTGAGGTGAGTGGCGGCGGGCGGGGAGGGGCGGTGCGGAGCGGGACGGCATGGGACGGCACGGCACGGCGGCTCCGGGCCTCGGCGGCGCTTCCTTCCTGCGTCAGCCCGAGCTGCGCGGCGCAGGCCCGGCTCTCAGGGGCTCCTCCCCACCTCACGCCCCTCTCCGTGCTCCGCCCCGCGGTCCCGGGGCTGCGAGGGGCTCCTGGTTTGCCTCTGGGCTGCCCTCGAGCTTTTCCCACACGGCTGAGGCCGCCCGGTTCCGCGGCTCTGCCCGCCGCCTGTGAGCAAGGTGACCTTTCGCTTCGCCTCTCCCCCAATCCGCTGTGCCAACAGGTCTCGTTATTTCCCTCTTCCCTACGGTCCGTACCTTTGTACGAAGGGGGAGGAAATGTGTGTGTTTGTGGGGGGGGGGGCCGCTCCGCGCCTCTTTTGTGCGCGTGTGGGCTGGAGCGGAGCGCCCACAGCCCTGTGAGGAGAGCGGCCCCAAAGGGCGCCTTCATGTGAGCGGCGCCGAGTGACGGCCTGCCTCGTTGTTCTCGTCCTGTGAATGCTCACGCTTGGTTTTGAAAAAGCGCAGATATTATAGAGATTAAAAACAAACAAACAAACAAACAAAAGACAAAACCTGAGTCTGAATCTTAAAACTTGACGTTTAGCTCTTGAAGTTGTGACTTTTTATTGACGTAGCTTTAATGTTATGCCAGGCACTGCTGCCCAGAGCTGTGGGTGCCCCATTCCTGGAGATGCCCATGGCCATGGATGGGTCCTGAGCAGCCTAAGCTGGTGGGGGCAGCCAGCTTAATGCAGGGTTTGGGGCTGGATGGGCTTTAAGGTCCCTTCCAACCCAAACCTTCATTGGATTCAATGATCAAACTTTTCTCTGTAGAACATCGTAGAGCCTAGAGCTTTCTACGGTCTCCTTACCACAAGCTGAAACAAATGATCACAGAAGAGAATGAAGGGAAATGTTGACATGTACAGTCAGTGTTGCTTTTCTGATCCTTCTTCTGTGCCTTGCTGCTGTTATCTATGCTGTTGCTTTGAAGACCAGATCGAGTAACTGCCCCATCCCTGGAGGCATACAAGGCTAGGCTGGATGTCACTCTGGGCAGCCTGGTCTGCTGGTTGGCGACCCTGCACACAGCAGGGTCTAGCAGTTGGAACTAGATGATCATTGTGGTCCTTTTCAACCCAGGCTATTCTGTGGTTCCAGCTGTTAATAAGCTATTTAACTGGCTTGTATCCAGTTACTTCCCACTCATATACTTTTCCCCCAAAAAAGGTTTGGGTAGGGTGAGTTGTTTTGCATATGTCACTTAAGAATCTTGCAAGAATAGGGTCAAAGACTTTATGGTGTGGTGTGGTGCAAAAGCCAAATTGCCCTCTTCCTTTTCTGTTAGAATGGGAGCTGTGTTTCCAAGTCTCTGTGCCATGGGTGTTTGCTCCTTATTACAGTGTCTGATCTTCTCATAGTAACAGCCTTCTAGTAGAATAATTGCTGAGTCCAGAAAGTTTGTGAAGGAGCATGATACAGAATGGGGGAGAAGAAGCAGTATCAGTGTGATCAGCCCTTCACAGAATCAGCACAGAATGGCCTGGGTTGAAAAGGAGCACAACGTTCATCCAGTTTCAACCCCCTGCCATGTTCTGCGGGGTCACCAACCAGCAGCCCAGGCTGCCCAGAGCCACATCCAGCCTGGCCTTGAATGCCTGCAGGGATGGGGCATCCACAGCCTCCTTGGGCAACCTGTGCCAGTGCCTCACCACCCTCTGGGTGAAAAACTTCCTCCTAATATCCAGTCTAAACCTCCTCTGTCTCCTCCCCCTTATATAGGGAAGGAACACTGCCCATTGTGAGAACTGACAGATGTGATTTTATTAGAGAGGGGGGCACAGAGACGCCTGTTTTTGCAGACTAGACTTCCAAAATCAGTGTACCTGCAACTTGAAGTAAATACAATGGGCAGTGCAAAATGGCTTCAGATCAAAGTGGAAAGAAGGTTGCTAATTGGCATGGTTGATAATTGCCATTAAACGTGGTACTTTGGTTAGACATAGGATGGAGAGATAAATTTAAATCACCTATGGAAGTAAACAGATCATTAAAGCTCTATATGAAGCTTTGTGATTTGGGACTTCAAGAATACAGCATAAGGTTGGTTTCTCCCTTTAAAAATGCTTTAATATTTTAGATTGGCTACAGAAGGAGTTCATGGTAGCAGTGTCTGTGGGCATGGTGAGACTTTATTTCAAACACTCATTTATTTCATTATTATTATTTTCCTTTCAGGTTGAGACTGCAGTTATGGAACAGAGAACCAGAAAATGACAGAAAAATGTTAGATGCTCTCTTCTAGGACACAGTCATGTTGGAAGGGTTGGTAGCCTGGGTCCTCAACACCTATTTGGGCAAATATGTCAATAACCTGAACACAGATCAGCTCTCTGTTGCTCTTCTGAAAGGTGAAGTTCTGTTGCGTTTTCTGTAATGTTTTATGCTGTGATTTAAGGAGAGAAGTGTTTTTGTTTCTATTCCATCTCAGAGTTAACACTGTCAGTTAATATTGTGTTTAACATTTTGTATAAATGCCTCTAATAAAGTTTTGTGCCAGCACTTCGCAGTGAATGGTAAATTCTCTTGCATTTCTATCTCTGTTGTTTCTTGTCAACATTGTTAAACCAATTTATACAAGATTTTCACATATATGCTTAGCCTATCTTAATAGCTCACTTGATTTATGTAATGTTTGAA